TGGAGTACCTCAAAGTTTGGTGCAAAAACGCATGATCGCACCGGCTCGCCTGGTGCGTTCCAGCCTAGGTTAAAACTATTGTTCATGCGCAGTTAGATGTCACGTGCAGATGCGGAAAAGAAAATATGTAGATTTTTTGGCAGGCAAACGATTTTAGGAACTAGGCAAGATAGGAAGTAGAAATTTCACAAGAATGTTCTAGGCCCTTATATAAGCTAGAGATTTCAAATTCAGCATTTTAATACATGCTTGTGCCGCGTTGCAGGCACGTCGAAATTAAGACATCGGCACCGCTGGCAAAATACCAACCTCGGGGATTTAGTTGATTGGAGCAGTCTAACTTTACAAGAATGCTTGTGTCCCATAAATGGGCGCGTAAAATAAGCTTTGGTCTACGCCTGTATCGCTGTTGCGAATGCGATAGAAGACGGAAAAACAATTTTTGCGCGTCCGTCATCGTGATGGATCAGTCATTGCAATGTACTTGCCGCCCAGTCAGTTGTGGTTGGGAGTGTACTTTAGGCTAAGTCAAGAGTTCACTGAATTCCTGGCCTGGATCAGTTCGGAAGGAAGGGTTCGTCAAGTGCGGCTTCCTGGGGAACTATTTCCGGTTGAGTTGGAATGTTTACTGTGCACAACGACTTGTGACGATCGCTCCTGGATTACACTGTAGAATTTTGATTGAAATATATATTTTTTATTCGACGAGCTTGCAATAACTATTTCGAGTATAATCGCGCTTTTCGATACTCTAAAGATATTTGTAACGAAAAGTGATTTCACCAGCTAGTCAAACTGGGAGCTGAAATTTTACGAGGATATTCTGCACAAGTGTGAGACCTAAACAATTCAAATTCAGCTTCAAAGCACGTCTAGTTTTCAGATGTACGCAAATGAAAGCATAGGCGGATCCAGGACAGTCTCCTGCGGGGAGGAGGGCGATTTCTCACTCCACCTTCTCCCTTCGTCACCATACCCCTTCTCTCTCAGGCATCCCCCAATCCACCCTTCACTTGCCACACTACTCCCCCCCCCCCCCCCCCCCCCCCCCCCCCCCCCCCCCCCCCCCCCCCCCCCCCCCCCCC